TACTTTCATGTTGAGACAGAACAAGACAAAATACAAAAATACAAATCAAATAGCCTGGAGCAAAGTTAAACAAAATGCAGAGTGATTTTGGCCTGTATGCAATCTTAGAAATGAGTGCAGACGCTAACTTCAGAATTGACAAAGAGAAACTAATGATAAATTCTTTAGAAACAGAAGAAGGTCGAGTAAGGAACGGATATTGACAGTAGGTGCATGAATCTATAGCTAACAGCTTCACAGAGTTAGCATTGAGAGCTTCCTTAATCGAGGAAGAAACATATACAACAATACATATTTTTCAAGAACTAAACATGACTTGGCATTGAAGTATGTGTTGGCAAGTCTAAAAGGAAAAAGGGAACAGTAGGGTGAAAATTCACAGTTGTAAAAAAGGTGATAACATGACATAAGATCTTCAGTCCATATAACATTCTGTCATGCAAGCATTGGTGTATCGTGACTAACAATATGACAGGATTATCACTCAGCTTAAAAGGTTATTCCAATGTTGATATATAACATTTTCAATCTAGATGAGTAAATAAACATCATTCGTAAAGTGATCAGCTAGGATCCGGCCATAATCAAATCATACTTCACTGTCATTTTTAACCGGCATGAAGCGACCAGCTGAAGACAAATCCACCATAAGATGGAAAGACACAGGAGAAAGTAGTGAAAGAAAGGCAAAAATATTCTAAAATTTTGCAAAATTTTATCGCCATTAAGCCCGATAAAGTTGATAGTCACATGATTAAAGAAATGTAATAAGGCTTCCTCAGGTAATCACATCCTCATTGCAACATAACCTTGAAAAATCATTAATTTATAACACTTCTCTGAATCTAACCCAATCAATAATACACTGAAAAGGCTGCAAATTCTAACACAACCCTTATAATTTTTCCGTACTTAGTCCACCAACATGCCAGTTCTAGGTAAAAAAAAAAGAAAAAAATACAAAGTAACAGAAGTTAAAGTCAGTGTTCTTTACACCAAAAAAAAAAGTCAGTGTTCTTAAAGATGCATTGTTGCAAGCACCTAGGCAGCATTACAAAACCAACAAAGGGTACAAAAATACAGAACCCCCTTACAAATTAAGCCAGATAGCCTGATAAATCAGGGTCTCAACTCTCAACTGAAGCACAGAAACTCAATTAGGAAGTTAAAAAAAAATTAAAAAAAAGATATCTGACCTCTGTAGATGAACCTGAAAAGCGGCCACGCTTGTCCAATCAAGCCCCTGCATTCACGTAAAGAATGCGGAAGCACAAAATGAAGTTCTTTTTGGGAAATACTGTAGACAACATTTTCAGGGGAGATTCATGTGGATAACTTAAAACTAGAAAGACAGAATTATTTGTCTACTAGGTTTCCGTTTTTCAGTTGGTACACCAACGTCAGTCCTGCTATCAAAATTAAGGAAACTGTCTACTAAACCTATGTCGATGCAAAATAGCAAAGATTTTGTTAATAGAATATCAAAATTAAATATAAACACTCTGTTAATACATCATTGTTGTCACACCTACATATATATATATATATATATATATATTTCCTCCAAAAGTTACCTTCATATCATTTGTTAAGTCAATAAAACTGATATATATATATATATGCTTCACCTAAAATCATAATAACAACAACAAAAGGAAAAAGAAAGTTGCAATGAATCGGTCTGCCAAATTCATTTGCATGTGACATTTAGCTTTTGATTCTTTTGTAAGATACTAATATTTAAGGAAATGCATATAGAGCAGGAGATGTAGAAAAAATTACGAACGAAGAATCAACCTTAAGAAAGTTGGCTAGTTTAGGTCTTCGTGAACACAATGTTGGCGATTTAGCTGCAATTAAAGTTTTGGCTCAGAGTGTTGTACTAGGTGAAACCTTAAAAAAATATTGAGGATGGGTACGCATTTTTAGTTGATAAAAAAACTTTAAAAATATGGAGAACACAACGAATGTGAAAGTATATTTTTAAGATTTTTTTATCAATTAAAATGTACATTAGGTAAAACTTAGGACCGGAGAGAGTATTGATTTAGGTTGTCGTGTATTGCTACTATTTGTTTGCCTTGTGACTAATCGACGCAGTTCAAAGCTGAGTACAGTCTCTTCACGAAAATTAAAGATAAAATTACATAAAAACACCTCCTCTCATACTCTCACGAAAATTGTATACATTTTAATATAAAAATACTGTACACCAAACTAGTTTCATTAAGCATGACTAGTACAATTTGTAGAATGTACTAGTTCAGTCCAAATATAAAGGTTTGTTTTGTCATACTATTTTAATTTTAACAGGTAATTAAAGACTACTTTCTTTCTTTTGGTGAATCATAAATTCGACCATTTTGAACTATAATTGATATATGATACCAAACTATAAATATAAATCCGTTTCATAAGATAATTAGTCGGTTCACTCTGTTGTTATATGTGTTTGAAAAAAAAAAAAAAGTAGTATAAAATATTTTTTCTCCCTTACATGAACCTCGATGGATCTCCATCTATGTCATTTATATCTTAGATTCCTCACCGCACAATGACGGGTATACTACACTTATATATTGGTCCATTATATATCCATAACATTTATTAAGTGTTGTTAATGGATGAACTCCTACTTGATCGTCTTGCTGCGATTGTGACCTATCCAAGCCTTCTTTCTCATCTTATATTCACGAAGAAGCGACGTGGATCACCAACGGGCTCTACATTTATGAGCTTACAAAAATGGATTCAAACGATTAATTAATATATATGTGTCTGGACTCTGGACAATAATCAAGAACAAATTAAATTTAGCTAATTAATCAATCTATTTTTCGCTTGATCACTTCCCCTTGTACGGTTTTACATTTGAAAGCCAAATGCTGCATTATGATTCATGTTGGCTTCGCTCCAAGTTTACCTGGATAAGAGGGCAAATGAACATGTGGTTTAACTCATTAAATGAGGGAAAACTACCAACTTTTGGATTAATTTTGAGTTTTTTTTTTCCACAAAAATGAGGCATAAAGACTATATCATAACTAACCGCACGTTGTTGATATAAAACACCGATTACGTCGTGTTCTAATCACAGTTTTATACCAATCAGTGACTCAGTAATTCACCGTAACAAATAAATAAATAAAAATAACTACACGATGCAAATAACTCACTCTACTCCTTGAGGACATATTTATTACTATCCATTATATTTCAGTTTTTTAGGACCGTGTAATAGGTGCTTGATTCACTCATGACACCTTGTTAACTTCAATACCAGAACCATTTTACGTACGCATCCGGACTATGACTATTAAAATAGGAGAAATGAAGAATCGAATATATCTTTCGTCAATACAGTTAGGGTCATCGACATCTTGTCATTTACATTGAAAATAAATGTTCGTTTGTGCAAAACTTTTAAGCTTCTTGAGATTAGGAATTTAATATAATTACTCTTAAAATGTGTCAGGGTTAACGAGGTTGGAAGTTATATGGATAACTATATGATAATATATAAATTAAGTTGTTTGAAGACACTTGATTAGTGGTGATGGGTTCAAAATTATATTCTTTTTAATATATATGCAACGATCATTGAGCAAATCATTCATTTTGTTCTTGATTAACGATCGATAGCGACTATTATTATCACATTAACCCAAAACGGACATGTACCCTAATTTGCTCGGTTTCCTAGGTTTGTTAATTTACACCCATTAACATGATGATGATATTTCTTTAATTCATTAATATTTTTGTTAGTTTGAGGGGATTGGATTAATGTAATGTTCTTTATTACTATCAAGGAAGCTTTAGATTATCAAATACGGCACTTTACTGTCTTTCCTTTAATTTCTCAATGGAGATCCGCTATCATACTACTCCTTACAATTCTGATCATGAGGTCCAAATTTGAACGAACTTTAATTTTATTTTTTTAAAATTTGCATCTTATAAAATATATAGGATCCAAAAGAGTATCATACAATTTACAGTTATATAGTATATCTCTAGCTTGTTTGAAGTAAACTAAGTAATGGAACAAGCAACTTAACAAAAATGTCGTTTTCTTCGATTGCATGCTTGTTAAACCATCATTACCCGTTGATTACGTAACTTAACTTTCTTGGTTTGTATTTGGAAAAGAGTCTGAATTTTGATGAGTTAATGTGTTAAGTATAAACTTTTTGTGGACATAACTTATCATAGAGCATATGTTGCATAAAATGGAGACAAATTTATTATAACTTTCAGAGGTTAGTTCAAATCTGCTTATTTCTTAATAATTCAAGAACCTCAATTTCACAGATGATGCACATATTTTGATACCATGGGAGATATTTGTCTATCATTCGAAGAAACCTACTAACTTAAATTTTTTTTTTTGGGGGGTTGTGGGGTGTTGTAGGGTACAATTAACGGTAACTTTTTAATTCAGAATCGTCAGTTTTCTTTTTTAGCATTATTAGTTCGTAGTACTTGAGGCTGTATAATAATGTCGAGATTTGCTTAGCATTATGTATTGTTAATACAAATGTAGCTCTTCATAGGTAACTTGCGAACAAAGACTTCGTGTTCACGACCCATAAACTACGTACAGTATGCTTTGAGATTAAACTTTTAGCTCTTAAACACTTAACACAACTTTTTCTCCTTTCCTCAGCAGTAATTTCGTTTTGGTTCAGCTAGAAGGTACAAAAAAATGATATAAGAAATATCCTTTTCGGGAAAACAAAAATTGTTAGACATCTTGTTCATTTTTTAATCTTTTTTTAGCAATATTCACTTTGATTAGTTGAAGAAGATTATATTTGACACGGTAACAATTGGGTGTTCAATAATACATACACACAAATTTAGCTTAGTTTTGCGTCAGATTTAAGGCAGAATTATTTCCGCTCAGATGATCTCTCTTTTTACCATAATAATGACGAAGCAGAGTAAAAAAAAAAAAAAATCTTAATAACAACATAATATTATAAGTACAAAAAAGATCATGGATGAAACTACTCTAAGCAAATAACAATATATTTGAACAAATTATTATTAATAATAATATGAAGTACATGTACATGATACATAGTACTATAAGACAAAGTTAAACTGAGAAAAGTGAGAAGTACATAGAAATTATCATGGGCGCACGTACTTACGCAGACGTACTCTGGATTGTGTCTTCCTTTGGCTAAAACAATTTACTACTAATTAATACTCATCGGGCCAGAGGAAAGCGCCCATGGCGAACTTCCGCTTCTGATCAAGGTCTCCGATTGATGTGGTCGGAAGCCCGTATTCTCTGAGAAGGCAGTCCAGTTGGGATTCTGGCATCTTCTCGTAATCAGCCTTCTTAAATCTCGGGTAATGCAGCGGCATTTGAAAAGCACTACAGCTCGACTTGCCGTTGCCACCGTCGCCGGACGACGTCAAATTTATCGCAATTTGGCTACTCTGGTGGTAGTGGTGGTGGTTGCCGTTGGAGATGTTAGGAGGAGCCATAACTTTGGTTGTTGTGGGAATGGTTATGATCATCTATAAGTGGGCGTTAATTAAAAAGGGGTTTTTTTTTTTTTTTTGGAGTTTAGGGTTGATGATATAAGGGGGAGAAATGGGCGCCTTTATATAGAGAAAAAAGAAGTCGAAGTTATAATTAGCTAGGGAAAGAAGCTTCTGCAAGTTTCTAAATTATTCACTTAATAAATTTTGGAATCTAGATATTTTTTATTGGTTCAAAAATGGACGAATTTTGAGTGGCCGTGTGGCTGTCTTTCCTTTTAAATTAATTAATAGCGTTCTTGATTGGACAACTACTTGAGGAAAAAGTTGCATCACCGCCTCTATTATACATAACTCGAAATTTCTTGTTGGTAAAGTAAGTGCGAGTCGCTCGTAACAACACTCTTAACTCTTAAGCATCTTTTTTAAGACGGAAAATTATGAATTTGAAAACTTATACTAAACACTATTTGCTTAAAATAGCATTTTTTTTTTTACGTGCTTTATCAAATGATTTGAAATATTTTTGGGGGAAATGATTTCTAAGATGTATACTGGTAACGAACAAGTCACTATTATATTTCCTAATCTGAAAAGGTGGGCAAAGCATGAATTGATAACTGAAAAACGTTTTTTTTTTTTTTTTTGTTACCCCCACAGTTGTCTTTCAACGTTACAAATCAAAACAATATTTGTAAAGAAATTAACCAAAGGAGTTATATCTATCTCGTACTGAAATTTGTACAAATGATAATCCTAATCAATCAGGCATGCATACTGTATAATTTTCATAATTAATATGCAGAATTAATTTCGAAGCATATATGATCCTGTAAGATACCCATAAAAAGACAAAAAAAAAAAAAAGATTGAACACTTGATCAGATAACCCAAGGCATAGGGCATGCATTAAATTTTATAAGGCAGAGAGATGTGGAAGATATACAATATTGACAAGTTCCTGAACTAGTTGAACTCATATATAGCCACCCATTCTATGAATTATTTTATAAAATACGTAGACAACCACACGTACATTTGTTGAATTTTTGAGCATGTTATTAATTGCATGAACGTCCTAAGTATATGTTCTATGAACAGAGCATAGTGGGAGGAATGACGCATGAATAAATTAATCAAATATTGTATTAATGTCACGTTTCAATCACACATTTATTCCCCCCCTTTTTTTTTTTGGTGCAATTGTATTTTGTCCTAGCTAGCTTCTTGATCAGTCAACATAGAATTACAGATCAGCTGACACTAGTTGTGACTTCTAGATTATTGGCTTTATTTTCTGGGTGGTCGATTTATATATGATCATGCTCCATCTGATGCCTTTCTAGATTTCATTTTTTTTAAGAGAAAAAAAAAAGAGTGTTGTGTCCTATGGAAAATTGGAAACTTGAAATTCTAGAATATACATGTATAGTTTCAATCTTAATACTTGCAATCAATTGAAAAATAAGTGAAAAATAGAAATTGAAACCACGAGCAAATCTGTTTTCCTCTAACATTTTCTACTTCTGCTTTTGTGATTTGATATGTCTCATTAAGGATGGGTGCTACAAAGTACAAACTTAATTATATTATGAACCTAAGGCTAGAAATTCATATTAGATTATACACACGACTGAATTTCGTTAATTCAGAATTTTGTTTTCCTTTAAAAAGAAAAATTAATCGTTAAGATTTAGGTGAATATTGTGAGATTGGGATTTAGGAGTGGAGGGATGACATTGATTTTCAGCCCTCAAAGCACGAAAAAAAGCAAAAAGATTGCGAAGTTTACGGCCATGACGATATAATTGAATTTGAGCCCAAAAGAAACGGAAATTTCAACGGTCACTGTGAAGCAGCAGTCTTGTAGCTGAGGAGAATCATCAAACTCTCCCAAGACTTTGACCCACCCAAAGAAAAGAAACAAACATTAACGTTGGAATATCAAAATTAACGTAGGATCTAAACTTCCGGAATAACTTTGAACCAACAAAAAAAAAGAAGAGGAAGAAAAAAAACGAAAACAAAATCAGTTCCATAGTCCCCTTTGAATTAGTCACATTTTGATCAATCAAACTTTGATGTAATTTTCTTTTCAGTGTTTGATTCGATTCTAGAATAGTAGAAGGGTATTGGGTTTTTGCCTAATGTTGGAGCGAACAAATTAAATTAAATTGCTAAGTAACAAAGCGAATCCTGGATAAGTTTTGGTTCATCTTGTTTATGACATTCTAGCATTGGATTTGGCGGGTTAACCCGTCTGCAAAAGAAGCAAAGAAGAGATTTTTGAAGAATTCTTGAAAGGCCAGGTATTTTTTTGCTCCATACCCTTTTGAATTTTGGTCTTGAACATTAACAGAACTTGTTGAAGTTTGGATGAATCATAATGCGTCAATTCAAAAGAAACGTTGCTGATGATGAGTCAAAACATTTTTAGGGCCATAATATTTTGATTTCTTTCTTGTATCTTTGATGTTATCTTGTTTCTTTCTTTCTTTTTTTCTTTTTTTTTTCCCAAAAGAAGAATTTGTAGTTGTTTTTAGTGGATGGAAACCTAGAAGCGACAATCAGGTTGTGTTTTATATAAGGAAGTTGGAAGCTATCATATCAGGACACTAGTCTTGTTTTGATTAAATTAAGCCTAACATGTTTATAAGAATCCCAAATTTCGTTTAGGGTTTGATTACTTGCAAAATAAATTAATGGGTCATATTCTGGTTCATTATTAAGTGTCAACATGTCATTTTTCATGTATATGAGTATAATCCTAATTGAGACCATGTTCATATTCTTATTGTGCTTTTAATATTGATATTGGTCAAATCCTAAAACGATGATGTGAATATTCTTCTGCTAGATCTTTCTGGCATTTGGATCTTCTTCTGCTTGATTGAATCCTCCCCAGGGCTTGGTGTTTTCCGGTTACAATTTTTTGGTAGTAACTGGAAACGCCAACGTCAGAAAATGGATCAATTCAGGCAAATAGGGGAAGTGTTGGGGAGTTTGAAAGCCCTGATGGTTCTAAAACATGACATTCTGATCAATCAGAGACAATGCTGCCTGCTGTTTGACATTTATGTTTCGGCATTCGAAACAATCTCGGACGAAATCAGGCAGAATTTCAGGCTGGATGAGAGGAACATAAAGTGGAAGCCCCTGGAATTACCATTGAAAGAGCTTCACAGAGTATTTAAAGAAGGTGAACTTTACATCAGATATTGCCTGGATGTTAAGGACTGGTGGGGGAAAGCAATCAGTCTCCATATGAACCGGGATTGCGTCGAATTTCACATCCACAACTTGCTTTCCTGCTTTCCTGTTGTCATTGAGGCCATTGAGACTGTAGCAGAATTCTCTGTGTCTGAGCTTGAAGATATGCAGAAGAGGAGAAGTGCGCTGATGAGGAAATACGATTCGGATTGGGACAACCCGAAATTCTTTGAATGGATGTATGGTAAGCAATATCTGGTGCCACGTGATACATGCACGCGATTGGATTCGGATTCAGCCTGGAAAGAAGACAGATGGTTACTCCTTGACGCAATAAGAGAAAAAAAGGCAGCAGTTCCGACAACTTTGGCTAAGCATGAACATAAACTTGGAGACTTACTGATGAACAAACTGAATTCCTGTTTGCAGAAAGAGCAAAACAAGAAGCCGAGGCTCTTACCAAGCTCGGTGTTAGTAGGATCATATGATTATCATGTGAAAAGGCGTTTAGGATTAGGGGAAGGACACGTAAAAGAAATCCAATGGTTGGGGGAAAGTTTTGCTTTGAGGACATTTTTTGGGGACATTGAACCGCTAAATGAAGAGATTGCATTAGTCCAGTCACTTTCTCATCCTAATATTCTTCAACATCTTTGTGGATTTTATGACGAGGAAAGGAAGGAAGGATTTCTTCTCATGGAGCTAATGAACAAGGATCTTAAAACTTGCATTAGAGAAAATTCGGGGCAGAGGAAACGGCTTCCTTTTTCTGTTCCTGTTGCAGTTGATATTATGCTTCAGATTGCTCGAGGCCTGGAATATTTGCATTCCAAAAGTATTTATCATGGAGAACTAAACCCTTCTAATATACTCCTAAAGCCTAGAAATTGCTCCGCCGAGAGCTATTTTCATGTGAAACTGACAGGGTTTGGATTGATCTCTATTAAGACATATTCGCGATCCCCACATTCAGATGCCGATCCAGTTATATGGTATGCGCCGGAAGTTTTAGCTGCGCAAGAACAGGTTGGTAAGAAGGGCAATATTAAGTACTCTGAAAAGGCTGATGTCTATAGTTTTGGGATGCTTTGTTTTGAACTTCTGACAGGAAAGGTACCATTTGAAGACAGCCATCTTCAAGGTGACAAAATGGTCCGAAATATTAGGGCAGGAGGAAGGCCACTTTTCCCATATCCAGCACCTAAATATCTAGCAAACCTAACCCGAAAATGTTGGCATCCTAATCCAGATCTTCGTCCTAAATTTTCAGCCATATGTCGCATCTTGCGCTACATCAAGATGATCCTCATCATTAACCCTGATCATGGTCAACCCGAATCGCCACCTCCTCTTGTGGAATACATTGACATAGAGGCATCTTACACGAAAAAGTTTACCGGGGAAGGGGTGAATGCTGATTACGTGGCTCCTGTTTCCCAGATTCCTTTCCAGTTATATGCTTACAGAATTATACAAAAAGAGAAAACAAGTGCAAATGACGAAAACTGGGAGATGGGAAATGAAGAATTACCTCGAAGGCCAGCATCAATTAGTGGAGAGGAGAATTTGGCTACGATAGATGATATGTTTCTTGTACCAAGTGACCGAAGATCAGTCTGTTCAGAAATCATTGAAAGCAGGAATTTGCGAGCATTTGATCAAAGGACTGTTATCTCCGAAATCCCACAAAAACTGTTTTTATCTGATCAAAGATCAACCGGTTCTGAAAGTCCTAGCTTAAAGTCTCTACATATTTCAACAGCTGATCAAAGCTCAATTCGATCCAGGACGCCAGAAAGGAATCTTTCACAGGCACGTTCAGTGGATCAAAGCTCAATTCGATCCAGGACACCAGAAAGGAAATTGTCTACATCAACCAGCCAGAAGATGAAACATGCTGAAAATCCAGAGAAGCAAACGCTGTCAATAGCAGATCAGAAAGCAACTGATTCGAAGTCTCAAACTGGTTTATCTGATGTGCGCGAGCAAAATACAGGTAATAATATCCCAGAAGAGGAAGCTAAATCAACAATAACGGCAGTTGTCAATGTGCCAAATAATCCTTCTAACAGGGTTTTAAACAAAAAACTTTCATCCAAGAAAATTGCGCATCGAAGAAAACTTTCTGAGATTCCAGAGAAAGCCGTTTCTGCTTCCTTAGCCAAGAAACCATCGGCCAACAAGAAGTCCACTCTTCCAAGGAATTCAGAGAAGAAGACTCTACCCAAGAGGAAACCGAAAGAAATAGTCATTCCAAAAGGTCCAGGTAAAGTTTCATTCATATATGCAAGTCTCACTAGTTCCATGAGTTTATTCCTGATGAAACCTGTGCATTATAGAAGCCTTGCAACTACATCAAATCATTTGTGAAAATTCTCTGCTAATGTTTCCAGGGCTCTCAAATGATGACGTACCAAAGTCTTCATCTTCACGAATATCAAGATCATCTTCAACAAACGCAGCTTCGCCTACAGGATGGCCACTAAGGCTTGCATCATCACAGGCCTCAAAAGGATACATGTCATCGCCACAATCACCTTTGCATTCATGCGCTCGATGCTCAAGGACAGGCAGAGAGATGACCGCATTATCATCAGCATCAATGAGCCCTCGAAGAGCAAAATTCACTCCTGTATAAACACTGACATTGTGTAATCATCATCAGTTTAAGCTCATCTTTAGATAGTTTATTGCTCCAGATAAGAACTGATATGTTGCACATATTTGCTTAGAAAAGTGAATGCTACAACCACAATGTTCTTCTAGTTGCCCTTTTCTTTTTGCGGTGGAATACAGCAATAATAAACTCAGTTCTCATTTCACTTATTGGATATCAACTAACATACAAATTAGGCTACAGCTGACTAGTTAATTAGTGGAATAAAAAAACCAAAATTTGGGGCTTCCTGCCATTAAAATTACAGATGTATTAGCCATTCCATTGGGGGTTTTTTTTTTTTTTCCTTAAGGCATATGCACTGCATTTTGTCTTTGATTTCAGGGGCATATACTCGATATATCTTTACAAACTTAACAAAAAGAAGCTCAGGTACAGATTTTGAGTTGTACTCCATCCATCCCAAACATTACTTTTATATTTCAGGCTAGAAGGGAGTTTATGTGATCAGACTGATCAGGAGTACAAACAACACATAGTCTTAAATTTCAGTAAATTAAGAAATCATGAGCGGTTATTGCAATAGAAGACACTGTTAGGATGTAATCATTTACATTCCTATTGTTTCTTTTAAGTAATGCTTATATTTTTAGCCTCACTTTGATGAAACATCAGTTTAAATCAATCCTCAAACTTGTCACCTAAAATGCAAGTTTTTCTACAATTACGGAGAAAAGACAAAAGGACCACTATATAGAGTGACCATTTACATTTTACTCCTTCCGGTTCTTATTATAAGGCATTTTAATTTCATCCTAAATTTAACCTATGATGTCTTTTTAATGAGAAAAAAAAATCTTAAACTATATATTTTTATATTTTTTGTGTTCTCTTAATTATTATGAAATGTTTTTAAGCTTTTTATTTCAATTAAAAAGACATCCTAGGTTAAATCTAAGACGAAATCAAAATGTCTTATAATAATGACCGGAGGAATACAATTTAGGGGCACGCTCAAGGTGAAAATAAGGACTAATTTATAAATGTGTTAAACTAGTAGACACCAATTTGTAAAGAAACATGTAGGTCCCACATGCAAGAAAGTGCCACTTTCATGAGTTAGCCGTTAAGTCCCCATTACTTTACTACATACGACTAAACAACAGAGTCCAAGCGGCTCCTGTCGTTTACAGTAAAAATAGCGCACAATGTTCACACTTAATAAAGAGTTAAGGAATCCAGATTATGCTTTGAAGCTCCAAAATCCAGTGCTTTTTTTTCACTTACCAAAAATCCTGCAATTTTTTTTTTTTTTTCTGGGATTGCTGTTCTGAAAAATGGGTGGTGATTTTCCATTTCTTTCAGACAGCGATGAAGATAAAGCAGTGAATGAATTACTCTCACAGGCAATGGATCAGTGCGTTCTGGAACAAGTTGTGGCAATCAATTGCTCTGGATTTAACGATTCAGGGCTTCCATCCCATTTAGAAACTCGATTTCAAAAGCTCAAATCTTTACCTTCTTCAGGGAACCCCAAGCCTAAGCCTCCAGTCCGGAGCCAGAGTCAGTCTGCTTCTTCCTCATCAGAGTTCAAGCGCTCGATTGAAGACAAATCCATCCCAAATTCGCAGTTTTGTCTCCCAAAAGATGCTGCAGAAAACGGGCTTCCGTTGGACTCGAAGAAGAACTCAGTAGTTGATGAAGAGGGTTCAAAAGGGGTGTCAAAATCAGGGGTTGATGGCTCAAAAGACCCTAAATTGGAAAAGTGTTTAAAGGGGAATCCCTTAGAATCTAGGTTTTCTGGGGAAGAAGAACCATCATCAGATTCATTTGATTTCTTGGGTGAAAAAGATGATATTTTTTCTTCATTTTCCACCAAGAAGGTTCAGGATGGGAAAAAGAGGAGAGGGTTCAAATCCCCATCCGACTCCTCTGCGTTTCCGTCGGAAAATTCCTCATCTGAGAGTTTGTCTCCGCCGCCTCGGAGAAGTGGCTGTTTATGGTGTTCCCCCAAAAGGAGTCCGAGGAGGAAAAATGATGGGATTTTATCTGATTTGAATGGGAGTCGTTCATTTCGGAAAGCCCAGGAAAAGTTGCTTAAAATGGCTGCCAAGGAAGAGGAGAAAATCAGCAGAGAAGCTGAGAAAATTGTCAAGTGGGCAAAGCAAGCATCTTCCAGGATGATGGAGGTATCCGGCATAGAAGAAGATGGCCTAAGCGATAATGAACTTTGAATGATGATGATCACTATACATACATATATATATATATATATATATATATATATGTGTAGTCTATACAGCCATAGTATATTTTTGCAGGATCATATCAAACTATGAAAGGCTTTCTGTTCAAATTTCTTTTCAATCTAGCTTCACAATGCCAATCATGAAGAGGAATGCAATCATATATATATACAAAGACATCAATGCTTGTTTTCTGAAAGTAGAATATATTTGCATTAACCTTCCGATTTCGATATGATATGATTCTTGATCTCTATATTTACATAGGAAAATATTATTTCGACCTACAAGCTGCCATCATGAAGCTTCAGCAGCGCTAAATATAATGAGCTTTTACAGCAGATATACTTTGTTTACAACCTAAACGTCACACCTTACTGCCTTCTCTATATAAACATCACATCTAGGAAGAAAATTGTGCGGTTTGAACCTTCCGCGAATCTCGCAGCCTCCAGAAAGCATAATGTTATAGGCATTTCTGATCAGAAACTGATCTGCTCCGTGACCCAGTGTTCAGTGTAATTCTTCTCGATGCCCCCCAAAAAATGCACCAAACTTGTTTGTGGTCGCTGTAGGGAGGGACAAACCTGAGTTCCTTGCTTTACCCATCAACCGAATGGAGCCAGTCTCAAGCATTTACACTTGAACATTGAGCGGCCAATTTCAGTGATTTAATTGTGCCAGAAAAGCGTTGAATTTGGGATCCAATATTCTGGAATCTGGACCAATTAGCAGAATCAGAATGGCAACCTTCGTCGGGGACGGCTTTAAAATAGCTATTTGCTTCTTCCCATAAAAACAATGGTTTGTACACTACACCATTTCTAGCAGTTTTATGCACCCTGTGGAATTAGCAGAAACTACCATGTTTGATTTCCGTCTCCAGCACACACTTGACACGAATTGCCCATTATCATCATCAGTCTCTCTTCCAGAAATGGGATCAATTGAGCCAAACTTCACAGATGTAACTGGCATTGGCAGTGATCGGTAATAAGCAAACACCTACACCCAAAGATCATCATCATCATCATCAACAACAACAACAACAAGCCTTTTTCCCAAAGAAGATCATCGCAGAAAAGAAAAATTTAGAAGCTTTGTCACAAAATTTTGGGCTTCAAATAAATTTGTATGCAGACAGAGTGCTTTGAATTGCTCAACACAGTCAAAGAGAAACGTTTCATTAACATAATGGAAAAAGAGAAGGGATCAAATCAATATACTTTAGAAGAAAACATATACCCCAAATCAAAACAGAACTACACATGGCAGCAAAACAGGAGAACCAGTAAGAATTGACTATTCAGAATATGGCTGTCTACACAATTATGGTGCTGAACTTGTGACATGATTTTCATTTTCAAGATCCTATTTAACCTTAAGAGCACCATAATCCAGTTTGTAACGCACCAGAGCAGGTCCAAATCAAATTATATCCATGCCATAAACAGAACACATAATTATGCATTGCTCACAGATGACTTGATTGGCCATGGCATCCACTTTGCGGTCCAACCTTACAAGCGCAAGGCAAGTTTGATTTTTACAAATAAAGACCAATAAAATTTCCAATTCAGGTTGCAAATTACTTGTCCTTACAAATATAATACTTACTAACTAAAATGCAAGCTCGTTCTCACCTCATTGGTCTCAGAACCACATGCTATGTATCCATCATTAATAGATAAACCCACAAAGTTCTGTTTGGAGAAAGAGCAGAAAGTTAGCAAAAAAACTTGAAGAGCTTAGTGGTAAAATGAATTCAAGATGAAAAAAGGTTTAGTAACCACCTTCTCATTGCTATGCCCTCGAAGGGTTAAGGCACAAGCATCCCTTGACAATCCACCAGAACTGGTTCTTTTAAGATCCCAAATTTTTAAGGAGTTGTCTGTGGATGCGGAAACCAGCGTCTCAGAATCAAGAAATTTTGCATAACTAACTGCTTTCTCATGACCAGCCAATATACACCACGGAGTTGAAATGTTCCGCAGGTCATAGCAGTATGTCTTGTAATCAGCAGAGCTAAAAGCCACGAAGTTAGAGGACGCGGCTGAAAACTGAACACAGCAGACATTGGCATTGTTCCTAATTGTGCACAAACTGTTTTTCTGCATCAAGGAAGAAGCTGCTGATAAATACATCAAGTGGAGGAAAATACAAAATTTCAATCTAGTATACATGATTAAGAGTGAACAAAAATGCCCTTTTCTTATTTAAAAGGAGAGAAATATTTAAGAAGAGTTAAGGGGAATATCTACAGCCACATATGCCTATATTTTTTAGGTATGCTAACATTTTGTTCAATTTTTTTAGTTTCGGAAATCTTTCATCTTAATATTTACCAATGTCCTTCCAACTTGTCATATGAATTTATGAATTTATGCTCCCAGCTAAGTTCGGGCATTTCTAAGCAGCGACAATCCAACACAGTTCTATATGCAATTGCCAGACTTTTTCTGGCCTTTCTCTTTTCATCTCTTTAAATGGGGATCAGAGAAAGATAAGGAGTTTTTCCAATTATGATTGAAGTTTTTAAAAATAAGGAGTCGCAAGTATAAGAAAATGGCTTGCCTCATTGATGCTCCAAAGTTTTACGAGACGATCATCACTTCCACTAATAAACTTTTTTGGATCCAGACGAGAAAAATCTACGGACCAGGCCCTTTCGTCATGTTCCGTGAAATCAAGAAACCCTTGACCGGTAGCTGCATCCCACAACTGGTATCATCCAGGTATACATCAGATCATTCAGTTCGTCGAAGGATCAAACATTCAAAAAGCAATGGCTACAGGGTATAACTGCAGGAGATATGAGCTTGAAACAGGAACATTTAGTTTTCAAGATGACATATCATATAAGCTATCTATCACTACTCATTTGCAAGATAGTAAAAACAACTCACACCCATGACAATTCCACAAAATCAAGCCAAAAGGAACATAAGCAACTCTCATTGTTTCGCACCACAGTTGATGCTCACCGTAAACCTTCAGCAGTTTTGCATATTTAACCTAATTTCATCTACATTTTCCCATGAACGAAGTTCACAAACCAAAAACTAATAATAATAATAATAATAATAATAATAATAATAAATAAATAAATAAATCAGAGGAAGTTGCAGGGGAAGACACCCACCTTCACTGCACCGTCATAATCGGTAGAAGCAAGATAGTTCCTGATATAGCTATTCCAGCAAATACAGCTGAGCTTTGATTTGTTCGACATCTCAACTGCAGGATAATGGATGTCAACAGAATCATCAAAAAGGGACTGAAAGTCGAATATCTTTATTTTCTTTGAGACCCCTCCAGCAGCCAAATAATCCTCATCTCGATCAAAACTCAAAGAGCATATAACATTCGGTGAATTAGCCAAATCTCCACTCCTCAATACCCCTCGCAGTCTGAACTTACTATAACGAGCATACTTGCAGAAGTCAGTATAGAATCCTCCAAGTTGATCATTTGTTTCCGAAGCTACTCCATCCTTCCCAAGGAAGCAATTTTCCCGAACACTTAAAAATTCTGTGTCCCCACGGGTACGAGTGCCAGCATTCCTCTCAGGAACCTGAACTCGGGATCTCATCGAGAAGTAAGCATTTTCTAACTGCCGGATGTTCCTGGCTAATTTATCATCACTCGTAAAAGGCCATTCAGAAACTGAACTAGTATTGTCTCTCTGAAGAGATCCAATTCGTCTTTTCTCAACCTCCTCAATATCTGCTTCTATTAACCGTATTTCCTCTGCTAACTTCAAAGCATCTTTTTGTTTTTGCTCCTCGAGTGACAATAGGAAATACAACAGCAATTCAGATTCACCCTCTTGTTCCTCAATAGAAGACACAAGTTCATCTCCAGCCAGATTCTGCAAGCCACTAATAACTGCAGATTGCAGAATTTCCCTGCCAACCAGGGAGAAATCATCAATAGGTGATCACCTAGCTCTGACAACATTCACTAGAAGTTTTGTGGAAGTTAAGATGTTATGTGCAATATACCAGATCATGCTTAATGGACTAACAGTCACTAGGCCGAGATATTAGGTAATCTATTGCCAGACAGAAAGAGTGTCAGCAGAAGTTCCGAAAATCATGTTCAGGAATAGTAAATCATACGAGTTAAAAACATCAGTCAGTTTAATAGTAAAAGGATGGGAGTTCTTCATTAAAGGAAAATTGCAGCAATATGCTTGAATGATTCAAAGGTCTCTTTAAGCCAAGAACTACAACATCCTGTTCGTGGACTTCAGAAGTGAAATTCAGAAGTGGAATTCAGAAGGTGAGCAATAATACCTGGTTGTTGGTCGCGCCGACGAATCTGGATGAATTAGCAGAAGGCAAAAGCCAGCTTCCTTGGGATTCTCGGAAAGGAAATCAGGAGGAAGGATCCTATGTCGAAGATCCAACATTGCTGCTTCATGGGATCTTCCCGAGTCAAATGAACTGAGTAACTGCAAGGTGTCCATGTTAGTCTGATTGACAATTCAGTCCTTCATGCGCGATTAGAAGTTCACAGAGCACAATAAAAGTTCTCTTCCAACCTCAAACATGAACAAAAATGTGATTATGGAATTACCATATTACACAGAACCTTCAAAAAAGAGTCATCAAACGCTCCCTACCCTCAAAATAGAAAACTGACACCCTACATATGCTTCTCTCATCAATAGTTAGGGCAAAACGAAAAACAATGATTTCTTAGAAACTAAATGAAAATAAAAAAGTAACACATTTCTTTGTGAACTTCACCAAAATTAAGATGAAAGAAAAAAGGTGTCGACAAATCCAAAAAGTAGTCTTTGATTAGTTAAACGAATTGTACCGGGTAAACCTATACAGGAAATTGTTTTTGATTCATGGGTGCAACAAAGGTTTTCTCAATATAACCATTAGCTCACCTCAAATAGAAGAACTCCCAATGAATAGATATTTGATGAAAATGCTAAGCGGCTACCACTAAGAACCTCAGAACTGGAATACCAATTCTCTTCCAATATATAACTTCCGGAAACAGAAACCAGTTGCTGCATATCAGATAAGTTGGGATAATTGGATCGATTTTGGTCCATAAACTCCACCATTGGGTCACAATATTTATTAGAAATATGTCTATCTGCTTTGCTAACATAACCAACAGACGATTTTACGTCAAAACTGAATTCCGAGTGGGGAAACCTTCCAGCATAACCCATACCCTCACCCATCTTTTGTCTTTTTGCAGAATGATGGTCAAACGGAAGTAAATTCTGTTCCAATCGCCTCTTGTCAAGTTGATTGTTCTCTGGCTGTTGGAAATCATGATTAAAAACATTATCAGGGTCACCGATACGAACAGATGAACCGAGATACACAATGTGGTTTGATGGGAGCAATTTGAAACAGGATGGGTGCAAGTCTTGTAACACAACTCCTTGTGAGTGAGATAAATCGACCAATTTTACGATTTCTCTAAATATGCGCAAATTCTCCATTTTGTTCACCTTATTCTGCCCAGTTTTAAGCCAGTCCCTTAGAATGACCCCATCTTGATGAGGATTAGAACATATTCGAGGATTTTCTGCAGCACCACTCGTAATAGGCATAACAACATTGTCTTTTCTGGAGGATAATGGTGCACTAGATACAAACTTTTCAGCATCACCAAACTTCAAACCAGTCTTATCCCCTGACAAATCACCTAACCTTCTGTTTACTGAACCTTTGTATATTGCTCCCTTGCCTTTCAGAGAATTCTTTATAAAATATTCAGAAGAGCCAAACTTGGATAGCATTTTTGTACGGGTAACTCCAGAAGAAAATACATTGCTGGGCAAATTTTTGTCGTCATTTGCCTGCATATCATCCTTGATTCCGTCACTATTTTGACAGGAGTGTTTCTGGTTCTGATCCCAAAACCCAGGAAAGAATAAATCTTCAACATTCTCCGCAACACTTGATACTGCTCGACTGCTACCTCTATTAGTAACTTCCCCATGTGAGGTCGCAATCCTTAATCCTCTGGAGCTTTGGTAAATATTGTGCACCCAATTCTGCTTATTTTGCATCCTTTCTCTATTGTTGGAGGTGCCCACTATAGCAAGATTTTCCCCAGTATAATTTCTCAGTGTCAACTCTTCAACCATGACACCAGAATTATCAACGCAACGCGGACTCACACTAGCTTGTTCGGAAGAACCTATTCGATCTAAATTCTTTCCATCCAAAATATCTGAAAGGAAATGAGTCGAGTCCTTATTATGATTGTTCTCACTAGAAGTTACAAAATGACGTGAATCTCCAGCATCCGAGTTACTGGCTTTCATTGAGAACTCAAGCCCTTTATTAATAATGTGCCTGGTCTCGAGACCAGCTGCCGTCATGTCATCATCCACAGTTTCGTCCATGTATCCAAAATAGAGTTATTTTACTCGCACATCACCTGTAACAATCACGCATTCATTAAGTCATCCACGAAAACTGCCAAGAGATAACCAACAGATACACAATAAATAAATACAAGCAAGACTTCCGGTTACTCTGACTCCACACTAGCCGACAATATCTGAGAACCAAAATCAGCAGTTTAGACATAATCAAACAAATTCCATAAAGGTACATACAAAAGTCTCAATACGTACAAAACCAAAAATCAGTGAATTTGCTCAATTCTCCTCAGCCATTGCAAATATCGTTGTTGGTTTCTTAGGATCACTAACAGCTTTTCTGACCAATGATATCACATTATGACCAATTTATATGACTACAGAATACAATCTACATACAACATCAAAAGGGAACAGAATGACCAATTACCATGCTCTCCATCCAATTAGCAATCACAGTCACTATTAAACCTGAATGACAGGCTCCTCAAACAACCTCCTCAAAGATAACACGCGCACCAAATACGAACCAAAAGATGGCAACTCAGTAACATTACTTAGCCCTGAAGGATTATTAAACTCCCAAAAGAAAAGAAAAAATACCACCAGACGCACGAAAGGCGGGTCTAACAGTCATAAGAAAAACCAAATATTAAGATAACCAGAAAATACCAATTAGGCAGCTTGATAATATGCCAGGGAAAAAACAGGCACCTCAAGCAAACAGCACTCGTTTGCAATTCTCCTTTGGCCTCACAATTTCACTTTTATAATATCTAGACAGTAAAAGGCCCACCCCATCTTCACATAAGAGGACAAAAATGCTTCAGAGAAAATGAAGAAAAAGTTGTCTTTTTAAAGTTCATTTGCATTCAACTAAAACTCCCGAATCATTCATTCCTCGATCGAATGACCATTCCCAGAAATCTCCAGAGCCAAAAAAAATTAGCACTCCAAATAGAAAGCGTTTTGAACTTAATAATTAACCAAGAAAATGGATTGATTGATTGAAGTTAAAAGGCTAACCAGACCATAAAAGGGCCCAAAAAATACTCCTTAATTTCAAACCAAAAAGAGGTAAAGAAAGCATTTTTAGCTTAACAACTTACCAAGAAAATTGATTAAGGTTAAATGGTCACCCAAGAATCTGCCAATTGAGTGTAAAATTGAAGAATGGCATCGAGCAGAGGAAGAATAGTGGGGCTGCTCCCTCGACCAAAGTTGTTAAAAAAGAATGATGTCTCTGAACCATGGAAACCACAAAAGGGGGAAACATAAGAGCCCTAAATAGTTTTGAGTTAAGCTTAAAATTAGTAACTTTTAGGCTTAAACAGAGGGCAGCCTTGGATAGATTTATCATGGGACTTACCTGAAATGGCAAGAAAATATCTTGGATGGAGCTATTGGTCATTGTAGAATAATTTATGTAAGGTACAATTAGAACCACAGAAAACCGCTAATTTGAATATTTCTAGATTATGGGTCTTTCTGAAACTTCATTTACATTCTACTTTTTCACTCCTAACCTTATGACTCATTGTAAATATCATGCATGATTTCAAATAAAGTAAATATCATGTATTGCCTTTTTTTTTCTTCTTCTACTTTTAATGTGGTTTTTATTTCCCGTAAATGCAACGTGCCATCAGACTAGATTGGACTAAAATTGTTATTTATTATCTGTCTCAAAATAATTATAAATATTATATGTAATTGTTATCGGATGTTCCTACTAATATTTATTTGTTATGATAATTAAAAAATTAATGATTTTACTATATGTAAAAGTGAGAGGGTAGTCCAATTCACTGTTATCTTCCAAAAAAATATGACTAAATAAAATCTCCCAAATAACGTACACTAAATCGAAATACATCCTAAGTTGTACTTGCAATTTTTCTAAGTACTCCTTCCGGTACTTAATATAAACTATTTTGATTTTGTCTTAGGTTTCACCTAATATATATTTTCAATTGATAAAAAAACATTAAAAATATATTTTCACATTTTTTTTGTTATCTTGATTATTATAAAATATTTTTAAGATTTTTTTACCAATTAAAAATGTGTAGTATGTGAAATTTTAGGACAAATAAAATTATCTTATATTAAGGACTAGAGTAAGTATAAAATTATATATGTGGGATCGAGTTAATCTTTTACGTTTTCCACCTTGGTCACTAACCATTACAAAACAATAATGTTGGACTAATTTGTCTAAATCAAAAAGCTTTATCATGAAATAAATACGAACAAAAACAACATTGAGACGAAAAAACTACATCGGTTTTCAAGCCAGGGACATCTGGAATCTAATGTGTGTCCAGATTGGACATGATCTAAACAAAACTAAGTTAGTAATACTAGTACTAGTACTAAAGTACCACTTGAGATTAAGAAATTTCTTGAGATCATCATGATGATGAAACGGAAAAAAGCTCATAAGATAAAATGACTTTTTTGGTTTGGGTCACAAACAAAAATTAATACGGCTCCCTGGGAAGTGGCAATCAAACTTCCACGTCGGTGGATTAGAGTAGTAAAATTGGAAAAATCAATAGCCCGACAGCAGCAGTCGGATTCAAGTCGGTCAGCAGGGTTTCACGTGGATCAAAGCTTCATGCTGCTCATTCATTGGTTCATTCCATGCCACGTCATCCTTAACCCCCAAGGTAAGGGTGTGGGGTCACATGCTTTTCTGGGCGCTAATGAGCGGCTCTTACCCTTTCCTAAAAGCTTCTAGTCTCTAGGAACTGATTAGATAAAAAAGGGTGTTAAGTTGGGTCACTTAATCGAGAAATTATTCATTACAATTGCTGTAGCACGTAGTATTGTGCAGTCAAATACAATAATAAGGATAAAATAGTAATTTCGGAGGAAGAGATATAATCCGGAAATTTTATCACCAAAATAAAAGGGTGATAGTACTTGCTACACTAAAAATCAAGATACAACATTTGTACCCAATAATTTTTCTACTTAATTGATTGGGTGGTTAAATTGTACTCATTTTTTAGGGAAACCTTCTTTTTTAAGGGAAAATTTTTAAAATTTACTGTGACATCAAGTTTTAATTGGAATCCACCTGCCGATTCATCAACCGGATTGGAACAGTAAGTTTCAATTTATAAAACAAAGTATAGATAAGCTCATCAAGAATAACTAGTGGGAGACCCGCACAACGTGCGGGTTGTAAAATTTTTCCTGTATTATTTATGTAAAATAAAAATTATCAAAAATGTAAGAGTATTTACGTTGAAAGATGCATTTATATATACTCACTTAGTCCTAAAATGATATCTAAAAATCCCCCCAAGAAAATACCGTATAAGCTAAAACTTCTCAAGTAATAAACGAACATTTATACTGTTCGATACAACAATTTGTTTTGAACTGTTTACTGTCATAGAGTTTAAATAGAAATTTACCGGCATTTCTCGAGACCTACTAGCTTTCCTCGGGACAAGGAGCATGCTTAGCAAAACGGTGGTAACAAACGGGTGCAGCAGAGGCTGCAAAGGCTCTTGACGGATCCTAGCTGAGCCGGGCCGAGTTTTGTTGTGTGTCACCAGGCCGTCCCCCTTATCGGAAAAACCCGCGACCCCAACGCTGCCTTTCCTGGGGCAAGCACACAGCACGATCCGACCCTAGGTTCACCGAGACAAGCAACCAGCTCTATCCGAAAAATCACAAACCCGGGTAAGAACCTACGCAGCAGAACACACACAATCGGCTAACACTTAGCCCGCCTAGAAACGACCCTAACACTTAGCCAAATCCAAGCAACACAACACATGAGTTTGGGAGAATGAACAAGCAAACAAGAACACACGATAGACGTGGAACGGGCTACCAAAGCCCCAAGCCAAACTAGACCCTGTCTCTTATATTAACCAACTCTATGCAACAATACAAGGGACAACCTGCTTGCACTCCCACAAGCTCACTTAGAGAACTCTAGCTATCCTACCCAAGAATACAAGAGAACTCTCAAACGACTAGAACCTATCTAGCTCAAGGATCTATCTCTAAGACCCTCCAAGTACTAAGGCTCTCCCTAGCACTCCCACAAGGATTCCTAACCCTCGTGCTTATAAATGAGCTCTCAAGCTCCTTATATAGAACAAGGGAGACAAGCCCCTCCCTCCTAGACTTACAAAATGGAACACATGCATTGGGCAACCCTATTCTAAGCCTCCAAGCTTGACCAACCATCTTGCTCCTCTTTACCTCTTTATGCATTGGCCAACTTTGCCTCCAAGGGTTCCACATGTTCCAAACCAGCCAACTCTACAAGCTTCCAGCTTTCCCTAGAGTCTCTAGCCCGTCCCGGTCCTTCACTCCACATGCTAGAGCAAACCGGCACCCATTTCTTGCATGCCCGCTGTTTTCCTGCACAGCCGTATGCTTGACCCGAGCTTTCTCGCACCCGATTGCATCCCGTTCCTCAGGTTCCCGCATTCTCTCAGTCACCCCGGTGAGCTGCCTGCATTTCCTGGTCCCAGCATGACCTAGCAGCACTTTCTCGGTCAACTGCCTTCTTGACTCGCATCACCCGTGATGCCGACGCCCATGCACAAGCGCTCACCGGTTACCCGGCATTTCCCGCAAGACCTACCTGCTTCGTGCGCATCTCTCGCACACCATTCCCGCAAGAACCCGCACAACCCGTGTGCCGGCAAGTCGTCTTCCGGCCTGCTCACATGCTATCGAGCATAAGTATAAACAAACAATATAAAGGGGACTCGTACCTTAGAATTTCACCAAGTCCATATAGTAGAACCACTCGCTTCGGCCTCCTTTCCATGCAAACGACACTAACCCGTGCCAACCCGTTTCTCGGTCATCAGCTAGCTTTTCCCGGTCACGTGCTTGCTTTTCTCGGCCCAAGCACCTGGTTACCGGCATTTCTCGGCACCTACTATCTTTCCTCGAGACAAGGAGCCTACTTAGCAAAACGGTGGTAACAAACCTCCCCCACTTGAATGTTTGACGACCTCGTCAAACTCCAAGCCGATGCTTCAACGCACCCGATGGCTCCATGCATCCGTTGCCCAAAACCAGCAACCCGGCTACATCCACCATGCAGCACCGTGGGAACTCCAGCCCACTGTTCAACCGAACCCGTGCATTTTCCCGCACTCGACGCCACCCGGCATCCGTTGCATTTCCCCGCAACCGGCTACAACTCCTTGCAGCCCGCTACACAAACGAAGTAGTAATCACGGGTCTCAGCCCGCGTCCTTCTCGAGTTTCAGCCCACAACCAACAGCAAACTCCGTACTTCCCTCAAGCACCAGCCACACCAAGTAGCCAACCGACACGTCCCCCCGAACCTGGGGCTCTAATACTAAACTGTCACCAGGCCGTCCCCCTTTACAAGGAAAATCCGCGACCCCAACGCTGCCCGTCCAAGGGCAAGCACACAACACGACCCGACCCTGGGTTCACCGAGATAAGCAACCAGCTCTACCCGAAAAATCAAAAACCCGGGTAAGAACCTACGCAGCGGAACACACACAATCGGCTAACACTTAGCCCGCCGCCTAGAAACGGCCCCAACACTTAGCCAAATCCAAGCAACACAACACATGAGTTTGGGAGAATGAACAAGCAAACAAGAACACACGATAGACGTGGAACGGGTTACCAAATCCCCGGGCCAAACTAGACCCCGTCTCTTATATTAACCAACTCTATGCAACAATACAAGGGACAACTTGCTTGCACTCCCACAAGCTCACCAAGAGAACTCTAGCTATCCTACCCAAGAATACAAGAGAACTCTCAAACGACTAGAACCTATCTAGCCCAAGGATCTATCTCTAAGACCCTCCAAATACTAAGACTCTCCCTAGCACTCCCATAAGGATTCCTAACCCTCACGCTTACAAACGAGCTCTCAAGCTCCTTATATAGAACAAGGGAGACAAGCCCCTCCCTCCTAGACTTACAAAATGGAACACATGCATTGGGCAACCCTATTCTAAGCCTCCAAGCTTGACCAACCATCTTGCACCTCTTTGCCTCTTCATGCATTGGCCAACTTTGCCTCCAAGGGTCCCACATGTTCCAAACCAGCAAACTCTAGAAGTCTCCAGCTTTTCCTAGAGTCTTCAGCCCGTCCCGGTCCTTCACTCCACATGCTAGAGCAAACCGGCACCCGTTTCCCGCATGCCCGCTGTTTTCCCGCACAGCCGTCTACCTGACCCAACTTTCTCTCACCCGCCTGCATCCCCTTCCTCAGGTTCTCGCATTCTCTCGGTTACCCCGGTAAGCTGCCTGCATTTCCCGGTCCCAGCAAGACCCGGCAACACTTTCTCGGTCAACTGCCTCCTTGACCCGCATCACCCGTGATGCCGACGCCCATGCACAAGTCCCCACCGGTTACCCCGCATTTCTCGCAAGACATGTTTGCTTCGTGTGCATCTCTCGCACACCATAGAGTGGTTCTTTGTCGACAACATTTTTCGTCCTATTGTTAAATTCCATTTCTTTGTTGCATATGAGTACTTTAAA